TGTCAGGGATGTAGTTATGGTGGGCAGGGCCACCCAGTATTGAATTTTTCCACCCAGTCTAAAGCAAATTTCATGGCCCTGCACCAACACATATTAACCCACTTTCCCATCCGTAAAATCCACTTTTATTATTTGAAGTTTATCAATGTTATTTTATTCACTTACACTCAAACCAAATGTCTATCACTCACTCTAGTTTTCTTCAGTTACAACCCAGTACCATGATACAATAAAACCATTTTATTAATTTCTATTATTATGCATGATTCAACCTTAGGTACTGTATTGAATGAACGGTTTACATACAGTGGAAGAGAGAGGAGAAGTCATGGAGATCTTCCACACACTCTTCTTTTTCTGTTCAACCACCTCATTTATTCTACAAACATCATCAAACTTTACAATAAGCATTGCCTGGATGACATCCATTGAAAAAAAAAAAACTTTTTTATTTCTTGTGTTTGTTTTCACACGAACATAATAAGACATGAATAAAACTGTAATAACCCTACCCCCTCACCCCCCACCACCACCACCAGCATAGTACAGTATGTAATACAAGTACTGTAGGCCCTATCCCTTACTGGGAAATGTTAACACTCTACAGGCCCAGTGTTTTGCCGCCTACCTACTACTGTTATGCTTGCAGAGAAAGGAGTGTCCAACAACAAGTGGTAATTATTACTCATCATGGCCTAAATAAAATGATTAGTATTGAGATGACAGATTTCAAAATTTCTACTCAGACTGTGTTAGTGTTTGTTACATACATATCATCATCAAGTCTTCCTGTAAAGTCCTTAATATTGATAGATTAAATATTTATTCCAAACATATGCTACCCATAGAGATAAAGGATAGAAACAAAACTAACAACATCCGGTTGTCCTTATTCATCATAATGCGCAATCGAACACTTAATCGTCCGCCTGATCTGATTTTATTATGAATGTGTGTACCCTGGGTTGACGTACGAAGAGGCACAGAACAGTACATCCTCCTTCTTAGTACACTAAATAATTGCGACTGTTATAAATGACAATCACAGTATTGACTACAAATTTATACATCAAGCATCTTACCTTACGTCTTGATAATCGAATATCCTCCTTTCTAATAATTTTGATATAATTTAGGGCCAGATAATGATGGTTTCAATCGCTAGCCTCGCGCCATTCATAGATTGAGTGGTCGCATGGGTACCGAGAGCTCCTGTTTGATTCGATTCATTCATTTCCAATGTCGACGAATAGCGCCACCACAATTTCCACCAATTGTTCGTTGAAATTATTTTATTATTTTCCTTTTTCTTATTGTAGGCCTATAACAAATTGACCATTATTTTGTATAACTTTTATTATATTACATTATTTTATTTAATTGCTACTTAAATCATTAGGTCTATATACTGCAATTGCAAATAACATTGTAATATTGCATTAGACTTATGAACATCCCGTTATGTATCAAACTGCCATATACAGTACCGGTATCATCTTTAGGCCTATCATTTTATAGGCTTTCCATATATTCATCCTTGCCATCTGCTGTACTCTTTGCTTTCAATTGAATTTAATTTCTGTCTCTGTTTTGTTCTTTCTTTTTATCATTAGTTTTATTTGTTATTGTCTCACGTGCCACTGTTTAAAACGTGTGTAACAGATTCATCCATAGGGTTTATATTTAACGGTGATTTCAAAAAAAAAAAAAAAAATACATGCCTACAATAAAAATTCTATTGGTTACTGGAACAAATTACCACGCAACTTTCGTATTTCCGCTTCCCTTATCAAATATTAAGAAAATGTTGAAAACTTGTTTCCTTGTGATTAGCATTTAGGATCATCCGAGCAGTTAATACTCAGACGGTCCCGAGCGGGTCTTGCGCCTTAATTGCCGGAGAACGGTGCGGTGGTATTTGATTTCTTGTGCATTTATTTTCTTATTTTCCGGTTTTCTTCTGTTAGATGTATTTCATCACGATTAGTAAAAATACAAAAAAACGTATACGGTCAAAAGCGCTCTGAGTTTCATTTAAATAGCCGCGCGCTGTAAGCCTGCTCAATTAATGATAGGTCTAGGCTACCTATGATGTTTTTAGGCCGATGTCGTTTCGAGGTGGTCTGTGAATTGTTGTCAAGTTAAGATGTTTGCATTAGTCACCCTCTCCAAATATGGTAAATAAATAAATATAAACATACACAATTTCGACAAATCTTGACATGCAGGCCCCTATCCCTTATGTCTGAGAATGAAAATATATCAGTGGCCATGATGGACCAATGGACTTTCTGCTTCTTTTAAATACTTTAAAATATTAAAATTTAGGGGGATACAGATAAAATTGTTTAATAAAAATCAAAATGTTATTTTTATTGCAAACATTAGAAAGTCAGACAGAATCATTCTTGACAATAACAATGAATGGAAAGGGAAAGTGTGGCACCCATATAGACGAAGTACGGGACATCGTTAAAAGAAAACTGAAGAGGGAATTATTCATCATATTATTCCATTTCGTCAAAATTATTATAGGCTAAGGAACATCATTGATTGTATGCATTCAGAATGGCCATAACAATAGATAAATTTCGCATCCTGAGAGAAAAGGGCATACCCCGTAGTTACCAGCCGTCTCGCATCGTGCGGGACGGTCCCGCATTTCGTGATTTTGGATGAAACACGCACTTTGCAGAAACACATGCGTAATCATAAATTTGTCAGGCATTTAGCACAAGTCTATTCGTGATAACGAATTATCACGTATTCAGGGGAAAATATATTTAAAATTAGAAAAAATTGGTTTTATGACAAATACAAAAACGGCATACAGTAATTTGAGTCACTGAGTTAGAGAGTTTTCGTTATCTCGTTCGAGAATCAATTCAAAGAGAATTGTCGGAGCACAGGGGATTTTCCTCCAGGACCACGCCCCTGGGACCATGCTCATGGGACCACGCCCGGGTCCCACCCCCAGTCAAGCGGTGTTGTCACTCACGCATTTCAAATCTCTCAGGTTGGTAACTATGAAAAATGTTGGGCATAGGTCTATGTATAAGCGCATGAAAGTTGATCAAGCCAGAATGCATGTCTTAATTTGATCTTATTTTAGGTAGGGGATACCCTCTCAAAGCCACTACCGCTTGGCCCTCCCCATCTCGATGGTCACTATCGTGGACACCTCTCCCTCAATAATTCCTAGATCCACCACTGGTATGGTCCATTGTAAAATAAAATTAATACGCGAGCTTTAGCCTACCTGTACACAAAATTCCAACTTGGGTACCGTACCATTATGATTTGGTGCTTTCAGTTAAGTCTCTCTCCCTGTCTCTTATACACATCTAGATGTGTATAATTTATTTTCTTATCTCGTATCTCCTCATATGTGTGTAGGCCTGATTTGGAAGGTGGTATCCAGAGACCTCAGTTGAGAGCTAAACGCATATCGTAAAACATCGAATTGAAGCCCTGGGCTTCTTATATTTATTTATTTATTTGCTATTTACTTTAGATGGGCTTCTTGTCGAGGCTACTTCTGCAAAGTAAAGAGGATGATTCTTTTCAAAATGAATGCTGTAAATTTTGGTAATTACTACTATAAAACAATAAATAGGTCCACTGTGGCATCCATCTGTAACATGGAGTGTATCAACCGGCATTAAATCACCTAAACTACTGTATAAAACCAATCGTGTTTTTAATTAATTTTGTTTCTTTGAAATTCATATTCGAAAAAAAGCCCATACTACCTTGAAAAAATGCCAAGAGATGGGCTTCTTTTCGAGGCTACTTTTGCAAACCTAAAGAGGGGGGGCTTCAATAGAGATGGGCTTCTTCTTGAGATTACGTACATTGGGCTTCTATTCGAGGTTTTACGGTATTGGCAATAAATTGTATATTTCATGTTCATATACTGTACTGTTTCTTCTTTCAACAATTTTACTTTTATTCAATCATGCTTATAATCAATAAAAGGTTTAGGTCTTACTGTGGACTGTTCGACATCAGGTTAGCAGTGCAGGGGTGGAGTTAGAGGAGGGGGCGGCCCAGCCCCGGTTCCCTTTTTTGAGGAGTTAAAAAAAAAAAAAAAAACGAAAAAAAAAAGAAAGAAAAAGAAAAAAATGATAGACCAGAACGCCTCAAATGTTATTTTCGATCGTCTAAAACACAAAAATTTGGAAGGGGCATGCCCCGGACCCCCTAGGATGGTGTTGTCTCGTCCGGCCCAACTTTTGGCCCCACCCCCCTTTTGGACATCTCTGGATCCGCCCCTGCAGTGTACTGCATGAGAATAAGGATGGTGAAAACGTTATCAGACGACGAGGGCAGCATTACAAATAACAACACATAGGTAGGATAAGACAAAACTTTATTGTCAAAATATTAGAATTCAAAAGAGAATTCGTTCATTATTGATAGATTACAACCTCAGTCCAGGTTATCAAATGTCTTATTACAAATTCCTTTTTTTTATATTTAATATCTTCTATAAATTAATATTTTATAAATACAGGCACAGTCTACTTAAGCAAGTTTAACTCTATTTTCACAAATTTATTTTTTCCATTTTAATTTAACTAAGTTAAAGATCTAGCTGAATTTTCATCTTTTTTTCTTTTCTTTTTAATTGTATGTACTGGGGGTCCATATTGATCAGCTCTGGTTACCATAGTTACCCTTAATCAAAAACAAAAAACATGTGACATGCCTGAATATGGTCAAGATAACACCATCACATCATGACCATATATAGGCACATCATGACTATATATGGCCATACAGACACAATTTTAGAGCAGACAGATCTTCACCAACCTGTGACTACATCCTAGTTCATAGGCTCTTTCAAGGACTTCTTCCCCTTCATCAGGTATAAATATTTGTTGACCACAAACTGCACATATGTTAGCTTCTAATGTTCTTCCTGGCAGGCCAGTTTTTGTATAATACTAAACAAAATTAAACATAAACGCAAACTATTTATACCAACACAACCAACGGTAAACCAAAGCTGGAAAGGCGAGATTTTTTTATTTCTTCTTTCGCGTACTTGTTTTTTTTAAAGATCATGGGAGGAGGGCGGAATACAGAGGCGTAACTACTGCAGGTTCGGCAGGTTCACCGAACCTGGGCCCCCGAACTGCAGAAGCCCCTGATCTATAAGGGTTCGCCACCTTAAACGAAATCCAATAAAGCAATGTATACATAAAAATCTAGGTTGATAGTATTTGTCTTTATATAATAATGCACATTATAAATTAGAATTAATCACTTATACATGCCTAACACAGTGGCGTATACTATCACAGGTTCTGGCGGTTTATTGAACCTGTGTTTCCGATCTTCAAGGGTCCCCTATCTTTGCAGGCCCATCCTTATAAACAAAATCTAATAAAGCAATGCATAGAAAAATCTTGATTGATAATATTTATCTTTATACTTATACTGGACTTTATAATTTAAGATTGTTAATAACTTAACTTCAAAATAATCGATTATACATGCCCAAGCCCCTAGTTGTAAAAATTGTCACTCAAACGCCGACATCATCATGTCACAGTGAAACAGATTGTCATCAGGCATGCATTAAATCCTAACCAATAAATTGACCTATCTTTTCTCTCTAATGTAAAGACTTTACCGCTGATGTTTGCTGGGGCAGGGAAGGATTTTTTTGGGGGGGGGGGGAACTGGGAAAGAAGAAAGAAAGAAAGAAAGAAAAAAATAAAGAAAGAAAGTAACTGATCGCCCAAAACACCTCAGATGTTATTTTTGGGTGTCTCGAAAACAAAAATTTTGCGGATCCCCTTGTGTTGAGTTGTCTTGATAGGCCTCACTTTCGGCCAACCTTTCGGACATCTTTGAAATAATGTCCGATGGGAGCACATATATATGGCTTAGATTAATTTAGTAAAAATATGATATATGGTATACAGTATATAATAATACTTTAGTAATCAATTTTCCTGCCCCTAAGACTAAGATTCTGGATTGTGCCCCGCGGATCATTACTTTATATAAATTGTACAATTTTGGTTTCATAAATAGGTTCGCGCCCGGAATGATGTATTCGTATGGATTACTTCAGTAAAAGAGTAGTAATTAATTGCTAATTTATACATCCAGGGCCCAACGATACTCTCGAACCAGGGCCCCTCAGAACCTAGTTACACTACTGGTGAATGTAAAATGGGATGGTTAAATGCTTCAAAATTATAATTAAGAAAAAATATCATATTTTATCTTTGGAGTTTTCAAGTCAGCGGAGGGCGTAAAAAAATTTTTAAAAAACCTAATTTTTTTTTTTTTAAATTTCCATTTTTTGTGGCAGGGGGTGCGCTAATTGGCCAAAAATAAAATTTTATTTTTATTCCAAATCATCAATATTTGCATTCGGCGGGTTCGCTAAACAAAGTATAAAAAAAGTCTCACCTAAGTTAATTTAAAGGAATTCACAGAAATTAAATGAATCTTTCAAATACATACAATAAAATAAAGTTGTGACATACATACACATAATACAAAAATACATAATAAATTACAGAGCATATGTTCGAAGTCAATGATAATATACTGATAAGTCTATATAATATGCAATAAAGAGATGCTATATTATTTATTATTTCAAAGACTTGGTACATTTACAAAAAAAAATAGAAAGAAAAAAAAACACTTAAAAAAACCCCAAAAATATAGAAAAGAATGCCCATGCACAAATAAATCGCAAATCAATAGAAATTTTCGAATGATAATAATGAACTATATTAAATGTATGTTAATGTTTGTATGGTTCATATCTTATATTAAACTTTGCAAATATCACAAATACTTAATTGCTTTTTTTTATATTTTAGTGAAAATAATATAGAGAACAATACCCCTATATGAGCTGCCATAAATTCTGTAACAATTTCAGCAAAATCACGACCAAGCACTCCATAATAAAGACCATAGAACAGCAGCAACACCCCACAATCCATCGCAGATTCAGTCCGAACCAGAAATAGAAAATTCAAATTAAGTAAAGTGCCCATAACTATACTATAGCCAGCAATCCCCAATGCATAGCTTAGCTTGTACAGGATATAGAACCACTTGTACACTAGCCTAGAAGATAAAAAACAACAAAAATTCAATGTATAAAGGTTTCATGACATGGGCTTGCCATGTGAAACCAGACATACAAAATATAAGAAAATACAAATTGCACAATAAATAACAAGCTTATAACAGTAAGTTAAAAAAGTTAGAAACACTAAACACTTAATCTAAATAATGAAATTATAAATTAAATTCATTGTTATAAAGAAAAACTGAGTTGTTGAAAACAAAATTTCTAGATCTGGATGAGCTGTTATTAATTGGACAGAGTTTGCCGGATTTGTTAGCAATATATAAGTGATTTATTCGATGTGATGCATCTTTGATTACTGTATCATGCTTATTGAGTACAGTCTTATTATAAAAGTTTGTTCATATTCTTCACATTAAAAGCTTCAACAATTAATAATATTAAAAATAATTGAATATTTATATAGCGCCAATTCCAAATTATATGATCCAATGACCGGGGTAGTAATGTGAAGCGCTTAGAGGCCTTGTAGAGGCATGAAGCTCTATATAAGAACGACATATTATTATTTTTATTATTATCAAAGGTGCTGAGCATTATTGATGTTAACCCTGGTCATCAGATAACATACAATGACAAACTAGCACACAAAGTGCAACCTTCTCTGCTCCCTGGGGAGTATAAATAGTCTTGCGTTACTTTCTTAGTCCCAGGTACCTATTTATACTCCTGGGTAGAGAGAGACAAACGTGGATGAAGTGCCTTGCCCAAAGACACAAGCGACTTGCACTGCGAGAGTTTTGAACCCCTGATCCCCTTTGAACCCCTGTAGCTTGGACTCCCGAGGTTGGGAGCCCAAGCTACAACTGATGCACCAACCACTTCTTAAAATGATGGGAATGGACTTACTATTGCCACACCTACTACTTACATGCTGCTACATTCTTTATGTTAAATTACTCAGTTTAACAATTAGCAACAATTACGCTGGTGTTGGAAGGCAAGCCTCATATATTGCTACAAAATGCGATTTACGAGTCGAGTGGCCGAGCGGTAAGACAGGGGCGCCGCTAGCTACAGCCTTAACATCGGCGCTAGTTCCAGCCGCTCCTCGCCCATGGTTCGGTTGGTAGAACCAAGTCTTCTCGGATAAGGACTTAAAATGGAGGTCCAGTGTATACATCTGGCTCGTGTGCACTTTAAAGAACCCATTGCATCTTTCGGAAGAGTAGGGGGTTCAGCCCCTGTCGTTGTGGAATGATGTGAACATGTAACTACCAAAATGCGCCTTTTTACAGCAGCTAGGTAGTCACAGACCACGCCCATACGCAATTCAGCACAATGACGCTGCAAGTTATGGGTTATTCTCCTACATTTACCTTTTATATTTTTAAAATTTATAACTGCAAAACAATATAATGCTGAAAATTACGAAATTCAAATTATGTTTCCCGCAAGACAATAGTCTACTGGACATCAAGAAGCCCTACACAGCTTACCTAGGAGTGTTGCCAGGCAATGGTTTACGTGTGGCTTTGAAGATGATGTATCCAGTAATGATGCTAAAAACAATCCAAGTGACAAGAAAGCGCCACCAATGTGCGTTGATTGTAAAGAAAAATGGAATAAGCCACATTCCTAGTAAGGTGACAGCCTGAAAAAAAGAATTAAATACATGAATATGAACACATATCAGGAAGTGGAAGTTAAAAATTTAATGATTTTGTATACAAATGTCAGAGAAAAGCTAATGCACAGAAAAATATAAATTACAATAACAACGAAGCCTCTATCCTCATTACCAGCAGTCTGTTTCCAGGGGCAGATCCAAAAGTGTGTTTTGGGGGGGGGGGTTGGGAGAGTGGGCATGGAGACCTCCCATTCCCCTTATGGATCTGCTCCTGGTTTCCATGACAAAAGAATAAGATGAACTTTTTTTA